TTAATTGACTATTCATAATTTGGTGCATTTAGTATTTGCGCAATTCATAGAACGCATGGCTATCACGAAGGAGCTCTGTTTCACAGACAGTCTGAGGTAGTTTCACAGTCGGGGTGCGATGTTGCTATGTATAATCCCATTCCATTATTTCGCGGGTAAATATTTTGAAACTTGCCATATTTGGAACATGACACTGGTACGCGATGGTTTATTCATTTCAAATGATGTCAGAATATGTTTTTTTATCGGTCACTGAGAAGCAGACTGCGAAATATTTTATGCATAATACACATTAACCAGGGCGGCCATGCAGATTCAAACCACGAACCTCTCCCAACAAGTAGCGAGCACGATACCACTGTGAAACGTCACCGCGCCGATGTCTCCGCTCGAGCGTACAACATTGTACATACCAAGCATTGGTATCTTCATGCCAAGGCCGTAATTACAATATATATTGGGGGGGGGACACATCCAATATTCAAATATGCTCAAAATGTCCCCCCCAATATATTGCTATAAAATAGATTTCTGTTTATATGATTGTGGTTATGGTTGTACTTTATTAATCCCTAATCTCTGCCATTACATACAATGAAACAAGAAAAGGTAAAAAAGTAAAAACAGAGCAATGTAAATACAATAACACTATTAGACATTATTGTAAAAAAAAAAGTCCATCCTATGTGTTAGTTATTTTTTTTATATTTTAGGCAGGAAATTCGTTTTCAAATTTTGAATTTTTCTGGGGGGGGGGGGATCCCCAGACCCTCTGGAAGATTTGGTCCCCCCAAATGTTGACTCCATGGCTACGGCCTTGCTTCATGCTACGCTTGTTTTGTTTTGCCAGCACTCAAGAAGAGTTTGTTCAAACATTCGCCACTGCTGGTTGCACAGATTTAAAGGACAACAACAGCAACAGCAGCAACAACAACATCAACACGAGCGCACGTGTTCAAATACGGTATAGCACAACGTCTTCTGGGCAATGCTGCAGATTAGAACGATATCCAATTTAAAAACAGGGAAGATGTGGGGGAATTTTGATTGCATCACACCACCTTTATTATATCACACCACCTATTTAAGTCCCAAGACTGGAGGAGATGTTCACACTTCCCGGCAATGGCCTCACGATGCTGCTCGTAGCTGCAGAGCGAAACGCCGTGAATGTTGTGGGTCGCTCTCTCCCACAGCCGCCGTGCTGTAGCAGCGATTCGTTGGGGCATTTGTTCACGCGGCAACTGTGTTTGGCTGCGTCAGGTGGCGGAGGGTGTACGACACAGCACTGGGCTTTTACTCGCCCAGCGATCTGATCCAAAAATGTATTACGGATCAGGAAAGTTGCTGTTACCTTGTTACGGGTTCGTTGAACGATTTAGGCGTCAATTGCATGTGAACATTATTTAACTTTAAACACAATGTAGTACTGTATTTAATGCTTTGCTTTAGAGAATCAACTAAGACGTCTCTTTGGACCGTTATTAATAATCCACGTTAATATTAACTAATAATTCATAATAATGAATCCATAATTAATATAACCAATAATAAGGAATTATTAATAATAATGCTGCACGTAAAATGTATATTTGGACAATTATAGAGAAGAACGCGGCTATCTTCCTTTCCGAAACTAAGAGTGACATTTTTCTGTTCCATAAGCAACAAGCGTACGTTTTATGCCTTTGCTAAAGAGCGCTGTACCTTTAAGGGGGAGAGAGGTGGGGTGAATTGCTACTCAAACCTATGGGATTAATGAGCTATTCTCGGCTTGAAACGGTTTCAGGAGAGAAGGTTTTAAAGTGTGTGGCGGGGGCACAGGGGAGGGGATTAGTCAGGCTGCCCCGCTTCCTACAATCGGGAGTAAGACGTTCCTCGTTTGTTGTCCCTCCAGATCGCATTGAGCGAAGTGCATCGGCAGCTCACGGCAAGCGTAGTGGAGGCAGCGTCCAGAGAGATAGCCGGGAGGCGGCGGTGGCCCAGTGGGCAGCGCACTAACTCGGGCCCCCGCCTGACTTTGATTCCTGGCCGTGGGTGACATCGGCGGCGAGTGGCATCGCACCGACTCACGCTGACATCTTCGTCGCACGGCTGATCTTGACGCAGAGCAACGGCCATAAAGTTTACATTGAGGCGGTTGTGCCAGATGATTGCGTCAGGAGTAGCGGAGTGTGCCGCTGTGATGCCACCTCCTTCATATAGATCCCTGTGCGAGTATAAGTCGTTCTCTAGATGAGTCTTTGGGTCTCAATGTTGATCTATGGATCTCTGTATGAGTCTATGGGTCTCTATGCGCTGTGAAAGTTGCATCACTGGCTTGGAACTGACAGAGCGCAGACATCGTGTTGGGCTCTCTGAGAGACCCTCTGACTCTCCGATTTTCCCTAGGAACGTCTCTAGGTGCCAACTCACCGTCGAGACTTAACTTTTCCCGGGTCCAAGTTGACCACGTGAAAATAATCGTTGCTCAGAATCGTCGGTATGGAACGCTTTATTGGTAGAAATATCACAAGAGATTTCCATTTGATGGACAAAAAAACCGTATAAGTAAAAAAATATATAAAGTAAAATATTCACATTCTGGTTTTATACGATTCCGCTTGCACCTTTTAGTCAAAGTAAGTCCAAATCATGAAAAATCATTAACCCCTGGTTGGCTTCCTCTCCTCCTCCCTGTTTGACTCCCCCCTCTCACCCCCCACCGCGGCCCACCCCCCAATGCCCCCCCCCCCCCCCCCCCCAGTCTACTCACAGAGACGCCTCTCTTGCTACTTGTACACATCGCAGTTATTATTACAAAGGGCGCGTGAGATGCGCCATGCCCAGCCCAATCGCGTGTGAACATCAGGCCAAGGGAATCTGCCGCCGTGGCCAATGAGTTACGCGCCCGCACCGGGGGCTAATGGTTACAAAGAGGCAGAGCCTCTAATAAATTAAAACTCCACCGGGCATGGACTCGGAAACCCTCCGAGAACATAATGCAATCGAGTGTTGGGAGCGACCTATATGTATTCTCGTGTAAAACACCGATATACACGGAGGGGGGGGGGAATTAAAATGAGTTAGGAACTGTGCCGTGAAGACCTAGGAGGCATGGGTTCTGTGGCACCAAGCCAGACAGGGGTTGTGGGCACGGTTTATTGGGCACTGCAAATACATACATGTACACGCAGAAGCACCTCGTTCTTAAACACATTCATACTCGAGTCATCTGACGATTCACCCTCCCTGCCGTGTGATGAATCGTCACCACGTTGTGGTCACGCATTGATTCAAACGTCGATTATCATTTTGTGTTTTTGTCTCGTTTCCGTTTCATTTGCATTGTCTGTTTCCACGTGCGTGCTTCGTCTTGATTGCTGTCCGAGGCCACTCCATTAGCCTTCGGGGTAACATTTTAGCACGTCATTTAGATAAATAATAAATTATTGATTGCAGTGGGCACCGATATGAACACGAATTGCCATCGTAAAGATCTGTGCGAACCGGTGAGTCGTTGAATAGTTACTTGCCTGATTGAAATTCATAAACATTCCTGCAGAGATTCCAGAGTGATTTGTGCAACTCCGAGTTTGTGTACGGTTTGGCTTTTTTTGCATTGAACGGGGGCCCCAGGATTGTATACGGAGTGCTCTTACCAATAAGATCTGGCAATCTAGCAGCATTTGTTGAACAAGTCTGATGGCTGATGAGACCTAAAAAGTTGAAAACCAGCACTGGAGTTGCCTGGTTTAAACAAATACCGGTTCATATTCTTGGTTCTTTCGGTAAAGTCACGTTGAAGGGAAACAATCAAATAATAAAATATATATGATGACTGTTTGTGTTACAGTCGAAACGTCGTGAGAATTTTATTGTTTTATATATTTTAGTATGTTATTGTTTCCCTTCAACGTGACTTTACCGAAAGAACCAAGAATATGAATCACTGCAGTCACGAAAGCTTTAAATCAAAATTCAAATGCCGGTTGTTAACTTTGGCCTGGAAAACCAAGATGCTGGTGGACTAAACATATATACCTTTTATTTATATTGTGGAGACAACAGAAGTTGTTCTGCTTATCCTGTACATGTGAATATTAACATCCCAGGACACACGCCCTGATAGGACACATAAGGAGTGGCTTATTATCTGTACATAAGGGATGTTATAAAGCACACTCTTTTAATGTATAGAATATGAGCAGACACAACATGATAGAGTTTTATTTAACAATACCGCAGTGCTATTCCTGTCGTGCGCTGGTCTTGAGACTGAATACCGTACTTCTTGAGACTGACTGTAGGACCGGCCTTGCTGTGCACGTCTGCTGAAAAACTCTACGTCGGTAAAGCAATTTGATTGCGATTCTTATTGAATGCAACTCGGGAAACAAAATGTGGCAATCAAAAGTGACGGCGTGATATTTATTTACGCAAACACGTATCATTGCTGTGACATGCCACGAGCACACACAGCTACAAATGGGCTACAAAAACACAGCGTTCACTAAGCCATTATGAACTCATCTTTGGAACATTCCTCCTAGAATGTCACACTTCCACGCAGTAACGACGTCTTTCCACCAGCTTACGGAATTTTTTTTGCATTTGACCGTGGCGGCTGCTGAAAACAAACCATCTGCAAAAGTCGATGTGGCACTTTCCGACTGACAAACATTACCACAATTTGTTGGCAAGGAATTACCTGTCACAGGGATTCACCATGGGATTATTAAGATATCGGGGGAAGGGATAAATTGTACGGCGTGCGTGAAGCGTGGCTACTTTAACACATCCTTCGCGCAGCATAAAGCTCACTCGTTCGCGTGTGGATCTCGAACATTTTTGCGTAGTTTCTTTAATCCTACCCATTCTCGCCCACATCACAAAATGCTAGCGCGTGTTTTCCGCTTAACGCCAATGCTGATTGGGAGAACGCTGTTTTGAATGTTGCGAGTGCCACTCTTCAATGTTATCTCTCTCTTTCTCGTTGTCCCCCCACCCCCCGCCTGCAGGAATTCACAATACGGTTGAGTATGGGGAATGCTGTTGTGGCTGTTTTAATGCTACTTGAAATCTTAGCACGAAACTGGGATACGGTCTGTGAAGCGAAGAGTACACGTCCAACTGTAAATATAACTGTTATCTTCGGCTGGAGCGCGCTGGGCATTCCGGACATACTGAATACGGACGACCTCTCCGGCATCCCGGTGGCGATCAACCTGAAGAACAAAGTACTGAACGAGACGAGTCCCACTGGCATCATCAACCAGCTATGCAGCCTGGTGTCCTCGGAGAGAATGAACGGAATTGTGTACGGTGACGACACCAGCCAAGAAGCCATCGCTCAGATTTTGGATTTTATATCGTCGCAGACGTTACTGCCCATAGTTGGCATTAACGGTGGCGCTTCCATGGTCATGAGCGGAAAGGTAAGCGCGTCCGGTTTGACCGGTCGAAAAAATATATCTCTACGTTGACAAGACGGTTCGTACGCACATGTGCAGCAGAGCTTTAACAATCTCAGAGAGTCGGCGCTAATGTCGGTGTTGTTATGAGAATGGGCAGAACGGTAAGTGACCTGGTTTCGGCATGCTTAGTGCAGATAGTGACATTTTAAATATTATCCATAATAGAGGTTTTTGGGGTTAGATGGCGTAAATGTAAATGTGGCGTTAAACCTGCAACCAGCCGACGCAGTCAATTAGAAAGGTTTGTCACGTAAATAATAATAATAAGTGCCAATTCTTTACTAGTCGAGCACACGGGTGTGTGGAAGAGTAAACCCACAACATTTACAACTCGAGTACAATGTTTTGCCAGTAATCACAACTAGCATCATCAGGAGACAGCCAGAATTGTGGAAACATCCTCCTGTTAAAATACCCGTTAAATATGCACACTCACTTGCAAAATGTAGACACGAATGATTACATTGCACAAGCTGGGCGGTGCAACAGCGATGGCGGTTGTTATCTCGCTGCACTATGAACCCAGTTATTCCCAATTCCCAGCCAATGGCTAATATCAATCATCAGTGGCGGGTCATATCTGATTCTGCAGTGTGGTCTCCCATTTACCAACCCGCGCTGAACGTCCGAACAACCCCCATATATATATTCTCGTAGAAGGGAAACAATAAAATAATAAAAATATAAAACAATACAATTCTCATGATGTTTCGATGATGATGATGATGATTGCTTGTGTTGCAGTCGAAACGTCGTGAGAATTTTATCGTTTTATATTTTTGTTATTTTATTGTTTCCCTTCTACGTGACTTTACCGAAAGAACCAAGAATATGAATCCCTGCAGTCACGAAAGCTTTAAATCAAAACCCCCATATAATTGGCATGGCTCTGGCGAGGTTTTCATTCAGCAGCAGATTGGCTAAGGGCTGTAAATGATTATTTTTAGTACGTACTGAATAACTTAAATGTCAGTTCGTGATGTCGTATGAGGGATATATGAGGGGTACATTTGTTTTAATTGCGTGGCTTGGGAATACAACATTTTGGTGAGAAAACAAAACTGGTGTAATTAGTTTGTGTACTTGCAGCTGTACACACGTAATTACCGAGATCACATCGAGAGAAAACTTAAGAAATACTGTACACGGCGTGGTAAATCAACGCCTGCACGTCACACGTGTCGCCTACACTCGGAGCCGTTTAAATAATGAAACATTTGATTGTATTCCAGCGATACAAGCAACCAAAACACGCTAATTGTATCGAGTGCTGACGTTGCCATACTGTGACCGACTGCCCACAGTGGGGGCAAAGAGATGTGAAGGAGCGAGAGACGGGCGTTTGGGATAATTCGATATTAGCTACATTTATCACGGAGTGTACAAAGCGTACACTCGGGGCAACGCTTTTAAAATCACTCGCATATTGATAGAGCTCTTTCTCTGGGAACATTACATTTTTATTTGCTCTTTCTTAAGGGTAAATTGAGGTGGGGAAATACTCACGGCAACACTTTTGGGGTGCACCGGCTTGTTCTTATGTAACACGCGAGACATTTCCCCAACACTGCGAGGAGATCCGGCGTCATCATCAGCCTGAAATTTCCCTCCATCAACGATGACTTTAGGCAGGCACGGAACCCCCATCGAGGGAGAGGAGGGAATGTCGGCAGCGGTTATTTATACAGCTCAATCTACTCCCTGACCCAAGGACCGGGCCATCCCAGATGCCGGGCTGCAGATAAGCGTGCGAGTTAGCAATTATACAGCTCAGACAGGAGAGGCTAGATGGGGAGGGGGAGAGATTCAGCGTAGAATTTGCTAAGCGCCGGATTCGCGATTGATCAACTTAACAATTGATCATTTTCGTTTGATTTTGTTGTTGTAAAAACGTGGTTGGAGATGTTTCCATTGACAACAGTGGTGAAATTGGCAAAACAATTCCATTCCTTCATGAGGCCTCCTTTGCCAGTACCAAAATATACTAATAGGGGTTTTCCCCTTTTTCTCTGGCAACAAAACTGACACCTTTTGCAAGGAATCATGTTAACATTAACCACAATACTTGCAGTCAAATGCAAACAAAAAACAATACTCTGATCATTTATGCATTGTCCTTGAAACTGATTGGTCCACACCAGAGACAGCTTTTCTTAGAGCCTAGTCTCATACGGTGTTCGACCAGATGACGCCAAAAGGTGCACTCGATTCGCAATTCGATTCCTATCGACGTTTATGGCTAATGCCAGCGATATATTGGAAGCCTGTTCTGTGCCTCTCTTAGGTAGACTCGGCCTTAAATGAGTTGTGTGATAACATCAACACTGTGGAGACAAAGGTGGCCAGGAATGGTGCTCACCACACCACCCGCTCGTGAACTGTGCGGGCCTTAATAGGTGCTCGCTAACAGCACTTGACCCAACAGTGTACGTAGACCATATGGGCAAAATTTGTCTCTGTATGGATGCGGGGTTAATTACCAATTGTGTTTCAGGAAATAATAAATTTAGTACTCTTGGAAATCTTGAAAACGCCGAATGCATGAGGAAACAATTTGTACTGGACTGACCAAGGGTCTAAATAGCACCTCGAAACACAATGTTCACTGCTAACCTCAGGATCCGTCCAGTCCCTGGGACCCACCCTGGTTTTCTAGGTATTTTTCTGTGTTGCGGCAGCAAAAAATGTTCCAGCAGAGCTCATCGTATCCAACTAAAACGGGCCGTTTTCAGTCACGACATTCGTTTTCAATGGACCCCTTTTTTTTTGTTCCCACCAAACTGCAAGTAAAATTTGCTTTTATTGAAAGAAGCTAATTTAAAATTAAAGTTGCTTTCGTCAACAAGCCTTCGAGATTCACAAATGAATTCTGGGCATTTCCCCCTGACTCAACATTTCCCTGCGATGCCTGCACTGCCACTTTTTCAAACGATGCCATTACATAACCGCGACACGTAGCCACAGACAAAACAAACCAAAAAAATCACCTTCCACAACGAGATTGGATTAAAAAAGAAATTACAAGGAACTGTATCAGTGGATTAGGTTTTTGCTATAAATAACCTTCCAGCCGAGAGCTATGCACAACACGTGACCTCATAATACATACCTCTTTGCAAAGTACATGCTGCCTCTCCGATGGCAGGTACTATAAATTATCTTGAAAGCTGCCAGTAGTTCGGCTGATTCAATCACATCTCGCTTTCTTAGATAAGTGATCTTTGGCTGACTGCAAATGCGATAAGACTAGTTTTATACACAAACAAATTGACAGCCGCAAGTTCATTCTCTGTTTTAACATTTAGCACCTTACCCTCTGGTTAAACGGACTTGCAGATTGAATCCCTTGGGTTTCGGAGGCGTTTGGCATTGCCAGAAGTTTGACTCAGCACTGGTAGTCAGCACAAACAGAGTTTTCTGCCTGCAATGTGAGCAAAAATATTTCATTAATGCGCCGATTTTCTTTTTCTTTCCCAGAGTGCTTTCTATGCACGATTTATTTCTGTCACTGGCCCCAAACCTCGTCACACCCCTGGTGCAACGGAAAGGGGAAATACTCGACGTTGCCTGTGGCGTGCGTCCCAAGATCTGTCGTGCATTTTTTCCAATGTTGCGTGCAGGAAAATTTGGCTGAACCCCCACAATCCCAAAACCGTTCGTGATTCCATGCAACAAAAAATCTCCTCGACTCATTTGCCCTGTGAGCGTGGCCTGGCGCAAATGGCTTTTTTTTACCTGAGTACACAGTTGCACGCTCCCCCTAGAAATAATTTGTCTCAATAAGAACTACAAAGTCTAAACGTACCTTTCCTTATCTGCAATTTATTTTATGACGCTGCTGGCATAGACAGCGGTGCACAAAGCACGATTGACAAAACAAAAACAACTCAACAAAATTCATCAGTAACGATGCCTTAAAAGAAAAATATATAATAGGCGACGTTTTGGGCTATTGCCCGTCTTCATGGCACCTCCCCTTCTTCACATGCTATGGACTAGGGCAGTGGTATTGATGAATGTGTTGAGCGATTTTTTTTCTCTCTCTGTCTCTTATCTGCAAGAAATTGCAAATTGCAGAAGGGGTCTGTTATCACCTTTCTCTAAAGAAAAGATGTAATCTCAAAGAGAAACAGCTGTTGCCTTGTAGATACAAGATACGGGGATGGTCAAGTTCATCATCATGGCACTCCCGTGATTGCACTCCCGTCCATATTCATACAAAGTTTTAAGTTTATTTTTTGTGTATTGTTTAACTAGGTGAGAACCCAAGAGACTGGGATATAGTCTCATTTGCAAAAGTGACCTGGGGCACTCAATGTGAGAGAAGCAAAGGCATAACATAAAGTTCTCCGAACGAAGCAAAGAGAAGTCAGTGGAAAAAAACCATAACAGAACCTGTAACGTTTTTTTTCTCCTTAACAAAGCTAAAAACTAACAAATCACACAGCCAGGTCTGCAAGATCTCTTTGTGTTTCGAACTTGTTTTTTTTTCCTTTTAAACTCTGATGAGCTGGGGTGGAGCAGTGGTGCAGTGGTGAGCGCACCTCCATGAATTCGGTGGCCTGAATTGTTCAATTCCCAGCCTTGCACGGCACACACGCGCCCGTCCCGCGCAAGTAAGAACGCCATTCCCGATTGAATGAGGACTTGCGTGATTCCTGCACCGCATGTGTGCGGCGCAAGATTTGCACCGCATCGCAGCGGAGCTCTCGGCTCTCGAGAATGGTTTGCTCGATAAGCGTGAGCGGCAGGACGCGCGCGACTTGTCGGTTTCCACGGCAGAGTCGGCTCAACAGGAGCCGGCAGAGGGAAGGGGCCACTGGCTACAGCTGCGGCAGCGAGTTGGCCGATCATTCGCCACCACCGATTTTCCACTGCTCGCAATGCTCGGGGGTTGCATTCTGCACTCGAAGGAGTCCCCGCAATCCGGAGGCACACTGCACAGAGGCGTACATCGGTAC